GACTAAAGCTGCCGAGCTACTCTTTGCCGCCGATCTACGTACGAATTGAAAGACATAAATACGTAGTTCTCAATTGACATGGAACGGCTCTGAACGAAACCAAGCTCTTCCTTAAAATATCTCGACTTACGTGTTTCTGCCATCAAACGTGTAAACTTCAATGCCTGGCAGATTTTACGACCTCGCTATATCGCTTTCAACTGCTACACGAAAGAAGGGAATTATAAATATTATAGCGATAGTGGACTGTCGTTGTCAGACACGTTCTTTTCCAAAAAAAATCGAAAAGAGAACTCGACTCGAGCACGCGTCTTACACAGTGAACGTATTAAAAAAAGCACGAAACACCATTTATAGTGGTGTAGGCGCGATTTAGGCAGCGAATGCGTAAAAAACAAGGTGTGCGAGAATATTCGAAGAAACGCGAACCAATTAACAAATCACGCCATCGGTTCGCCGTATTCGAATTTCGTTCGTGTTTTCAACGTGACGCTTTTACTCGAAAAATCTTATTTCGGCTAACGGTGCTCGATTTGAGGGGAAAAACGACCGTGTTTCACTGGCTTGTCGCGCAACTGGCTACATGGCCGTGTGTTGAACGCGCAGAGAAGCACGCACGCCATGGTAAAAGTTACATGGCCAAAAAGTTCGATTAAAAAACAGATATACCAGATTGCGGAATCGAATTAACCGGCGTTTCCACGCCACCCGTTTCTCTCCCGTGCATTTTTTTCCATTTGTCGATCTTTGTTTTTTACAGCGGCCTCCGCTCGGCCAACGTTCAACGCGAGAAGCATGCGCGGCACAACGTGATCGGAATGTTCATTGGTAATTCAGAGTGGCCGAGCTATCGAGCCCCGAAGGCGTCGAGCCGGGATGAAGATAGCAGAAGTCGAACGGAAACTCGTCGTAGAGATCGCTTCGAGATCGACTTGGGTGAAACGAAGCAAGGTGAAGAGCATGCCCCAACAAGGAATGGAAAATAAGTGGATCGATCGGACGAAGAAAGACCAGATCCGTGGATGGATTGCGAGCAAGTATCGAGGATTAGGAAACGCCGATTGCTATCCGGAAAGAGACGATGCACGAAGATAAAGAAAATGAACTAAAGATAAGAGACGAGGAGGACGCTACGAGCTATGTTTCTCAGTGAAATGAAGAATAATAATTCGCTAATCAACTGGAAAAAAAAAGATTGATTCAACATTTCAAACATCGAAGCTTCGGCTACGAAACGTTACAGAAGCGCGGATACGTTTCCCAGTTTAAACTCTAGATCCGAGGATTTTTACGAGCGACTCTTCTTGCTTAAAATGCTTGATGCAGAAGCTGTAAAGGTTAACCATAAAAGCTAGGTGCATTATCGTATTTATTGCGTGCTGTGTGTATACCATTTTATAGAAACAGTACACGTATACAAGTTCTTACTCGAAAGAGACGATCTTCCAGCTACTGTTTACAAACGTGTATCGAATTTGATAGACGTCGTTTCGAGCATTCGAATGGCGTAATAATTTCTCAACGACGTTGCAATAAGCGTTGTATTTTTCGAACGAAGTGCGAGAACGTCGCTGGTAATCCGCTAATTATGTACGTCGTAAATCGAGTTGGTACGACGGTGATAAAAGGGATGCGAGGAATCGAAGACAGACAAGGAAAAGAAACTAGATCCGACCAACGCGGGAACGCTTTCGCCTGTCAAAACCTGGTCGAGGCTTTGGAACCGAGGACTCGGAACGCTTGGCACTTTATATTAAAATCCTTCCTCCCGTGTCAACCCGATATCCCAGGTCCTCGTATTTCCTCTCCGTTATTCTCCAACGTACCCACCAACATTTACCGCACGGATTCTACCTTTCTATACCTACCTATAGCTCCTATGTATTTGACCGAACAAAAGTGACGTCTAACGCGTACGATCGATCAGATAGACAGCAATGAAGCTATACGCCAATCATTCCGTGATCTTGCCTATTATTTTCCACGAAGATGATTCCATCCCGCTTTAGTTACGATCTTAGAGAGTCTCGGGTTATTTGAATATTTCGCGTTTATATCTCCTCCCTCCATGCCTTCTTCTATTTCCTTGATTAACATTTAATCTTCCATGAATGCACATTTTTTAAAGTTCGATAAGCATCAAAGTTTCGTGGAAAAGAAGTTTTTACCAGTTCATTTTGTTTTATTATTTATTCTACTCTTTAAAAGGGTTCAAATGGATCTTTGATCTCGCACAAATATTGATCGTATTACACGTGTTCGCGTCGACGCGCAATTTCTCATTAAAAGCCTAACGAAGTAATGCCGTTATACGTGCAACGAACATGACAAAGTGTGTCCGCTGATCCTTATTAACGTTTCCTACGTGAAAAAGACAAGATTTATGACGTCAGTGAACGTGAAAAGTCCAGGGGAGGGCATAACGCGATATCAGAAATCGCGAAAGGATCAGAGATCGAAACAGATAAACAACTCGAGGCTCGTTGTCAATGAACTTCGCTATATCCGAAAAGCTGAAATCCGAACAGCGGAGCGGTCGGTCGAGATGCTTACCGGCGCTATCCTTCGTAGAATGGAAACGGCAGGGAAATTCAAAAGAGCGTGTTTGTCGTCCACTCGGCGAACCCTCCTGAAAATTGGCCTGCTGTCACTCGAAAATTTCAGTCCTGGTCAGCGTGGGACATTCGCAAAACACTGAGTGAAATTAAATCAAGTCCTATTTGTCGCTGTTTGTTCCGTTAAAAGCCACAAAACGACTATCGCTATATATAGTTTCTACAACACGCGGACATAAAGTAACAAGTACGTACACCTCCGTCCACAAATCACAGGACAGTTGGCAACTTTTAATACAAGTTTTAACAATAGAACAGGGAACAAAGGCTTCGGTCGTAGCATAAAATAGTTTTCTTGTGATACATATGGTTACTAAGGATCAAGTTGATCTTGTAATTTTAACATCTATTTGCATGTATCCTAAGTGTAGAAAGTGTTCTGTGGTACATAGACAGTAGAGTATGTCTAATAATAATATGTCAATAATATCGATTTAATAATCGTACTTTTATGATTCTGTATGAAAATGGAATATCGCGATGAGAGCTATAGCACCTATGTGACGCAGCTAGCACCATATGTGAAATGAAGAAGGAAATGACTTACTCTTGCGTTTTATCGTTGATCATGCCCAATAGTCAATTATCTTCCTGCGTTAAGTAATTTTACGTAATTTATTGCCTGATAAAAGTTAAAAATCATAGTCGCGTTAAATATTTCATTAAAAAAAAATTTGCGAGAAACGTCGATGACAGATAATAACTATAAATATGTGAGCGCGATACAATTGGCATAATTTTATTAAAAACGCCCATATCTTCGACAACGATATTACATCAATGACGCGGAGCTATCGAATTGGATTATTTTCACCGAGAAAGTGTGACGAGAAGCGCAATGTTCAGAAACTTTGAATGGCCCTTGAAAGCATCTTATGCAGCGAGTATCAGGAAATGGAACGTGAAAATGAATACTGGCTGCGTCTCCATAGTACAACTTCTTTGCCATATCTCATGCGAATGTTTTATCTCGCCAAAGAACTTCTCCGAAACTCAAGTATACGAAAATGAAATACCCCAAACTCTTTGTAACTTTTTTATTATGCGCAAAAATATATGCGAAAATACGTTGTACCTGTAGTTTATTGCATTTCAAAACGTAGTTGCGTACAACTGACAAAGCTGGAGTGCCAGTACTCTAAACTAAACGATATATTATACATAATAGTCGTGTATTCTTTCACGTAGTTATAGTACGGCGATTAATACGCGAACAAGAATTTTCAACGATCTAAATCTTTATAACACCTATTTCTTAGCCTGATGAAAATTTCTTTAATTTCCAGGATAAAGGAAATGCAAATAAAACAAGTCTAATTCGGATTGCTCGTAGAGCAATCGTACATCACGCGTATTCAGCTCTGTCTTTAACAATCGCCTAGTCTCCGGAAACAGAAGACTAGCTTGAAGTATATCCGTTGGACATATTCCAGTGCACGGTTGCAGTAGCTTTAGGGTCGAAATACCGCGACGGTTGCATGGTTGGTATTGGTATTACCGATATTAGCATTGCCAGTAACTCTTTCGAAACAGTCTTGGCACGTTCTGTACTCCGGCTTCTGTATGCTTCATTTCCTACACCTTGGCCGAATCACGCTTCGAAGTTTCGCATATCTGTGCTTATATTCGCGCCACTTTTAACGTTCCTTATCATCTATCTCGCTTCATAGTTTCTTATTGTATTATTCGTATATTCCCCGAAACGGATTAGAATCACGAAGAATTAACCTGTACGCGTTGTTCCTGTGATTCTTTTAACTCGTAGATTTATCCTATTTATCGCAAAAACTTCATTTATCTAGCTATATTATATTATTTATCGCTTACTATTTTTATCTATTTACGATAGTTTTACTTATTATACTCGGTGAATGTTTCATTTATTTGTCTATACTTGGAAACGCAGCCGAAAAATAATATTTTGTAGCGTGCGTCTGATAAAAAGTCCGCAATCGTAGGCAGCTTTCTCGACGACCGTATTCGTGTAAAAGCTTAAGCCTTTATAATTATCCGCGCCCTGTGTTTACCTATTTCTCTTTTATTCAGTATCTACGCATTTACAGGCGCACTTATGAAATGCAACTAATTAAGATCACATTAACCCGGTTTTAAAGAACTCTTTCCATTAAAGGGGCACTGACAAACCGAGGGACTAGCACCAGATAAGTAACGTATTTAATTTTTCCAAAAGTTTCTGAAAAAGAGAAAAGAAGCGGAGAAAAATTCGGTTTTGCGACGCTCTACGTAAAATGGATTTTATTTCTCTCCAGGGACATGAATATTTCACACATTCGATCTCAATGAAAATCGTCTTGGAGGCACGTCAAAAATGCAGCTCGCGCCAGGCGCAAATGTATTTGGTCAAAACACGATAAATTCTTCTCTATCCTTTTCCCTTTTTTTTTCTTCTCTTTTTTGAAAAACCTCGTTTCAACGTTTCAACGAAAAGCATGTCGTGCACCAGAAGGTTTTGCATTTTTATACATTTTACGTCGATCAAGCTGTCTTCTTTTTGAACCCGCTTCACTATGCTACATATCGATTGAAATACGCATAGATATCGTCGAAGCTTGATTTTACGCTTCATGCAGTTCCTGTTACATTAACTTTTAACGTTTTCCCCGTTCGCATACACAAAAGATAAGCAATTAGCAATGAAAATAAAAATCTCTCGTACGAGAGAAGATCGATGCATAAAGAAAAATTCTATTAGTCGTTGTGTTCATATTTCGTATGCTACTGCGTGTGCTTATACCTTGAAGAAGATCATTTTGTTGCCAACAGGATGTAAGAATTCGTCAGTGATATATTTTTCAGTATATGAAAGTCAAGAAAATAGTCAATAAATTTCAATTCGTCGTTATTTCGAAATATATGACAATAAATAAAATAACGAACAAGATATCTAGTGGAACTAGTAAATCATGATAAAACTTGCTAAAAAAGTTTTCCCTCGATATATATATATATCTCGTTCGTTAATTTATTTATTGTTATTTATTTCGAAATAGCGACGAATTGAAATTTATTGACTATTTTGTTCATTTCCATATACTGAAAAATATATCACTGACGAATTCTTACATCCTGTTGGCAACAAAATGATCTTTTATATTTTACACTATATGATTTATTTTACACAAAATGAATGACACTATATATATATACATATATATAGTGTAAAATTGAACGTGACTGTAAGTTCATAGCGATAAATCTTCCTAAAATAATGCGTACTAAATTTTATTATCTCATTAAAGATGGTATGAAAGAACCGTAGCAAAATATGTATCAACCAAAGTCCTTTGATGTACAGAGATTGAAGCTAGAATATTCAGTCGAGTAATACGCTATGAGTTCAAGCAACTTCGGTATAACCAAGAGTCTCTTAATATCATAAAACGGAATATCATAACTTTGTTATATCCCTTCGGTTTTCCAATTATACTTAATCTTATACTAAAACTGCTTGGTAATTAGCGTGCGAGAAAGAAGATTCAGTATGAAAAAATATTAGAAGCGGTGGCTTTTACACGCGTCTCTATCGATGTCAATCTCTATCATATTAAAAACAAGCATATAATCTATAAACTTACCAACTCTGGAACGACGAGTATTCAATCCGTCGAAATCACCAATGGGTTGAATGGTTCACTAATTCGTAGATGAGTTTCTCCCGTGATAATCTAATTTCTTCAACGAAACACAAACATGTTTCGCTGTAATCCAGTTACCGGTGTACAAATTCATCGAAGGCAGTCGATGTTTCGCAAACTTGTTGTTTACACTTCGTTACACGACATTACACTGATACACCAACTGATTAACGATGTTTATTTAAATTCTATTGTCCGTGTGTATTGCTACAGCTACGCTGTGGAACGTTTACACAAAAACGTGGTCAAGGACGTCACTAATTGAGAATAAATACAACCAATGCGTAAATGCCACTCGAAGCTTAAATTCAGAATACGAACGTAATAAATGGAAAGATCGCTATACGCGTTGTTCGATTTTATTTCCCAATTACAGCCAATCATGCGCGAAATATGCTCTTATTCGAAAGAATGACAGAATAAATTCATGAAAAAGAAAAAAAAGAAGGATGGTTGACGAAAAGTGGAAACGAGGTCACTTAACGCGCGAATTTAAATGAATTTTTCTTTTATTCTTCTACGTCCCGGATATAAATGCCGCGACACTGTCCGCGTTTCTACAGGCTCGAGCTCATTTCTTGCGACATTTCAAAGTGTTCTAAAGCTTGGAAGCAGACCAGTTACGTGGCTCCATTTTAATCGAGATCCCTGCAGCAGTTAAAGTCGAACGAATCCCGCTGAATATCTACGAAACGGTTTGCTAAATTGCCAATCTTCCTAGTGCAAATCGGAACGAACGCGTATTTAAACGATACCATTCGATACGATGTCAATCCTTTTAATTAATTTTCAAACGCGATATTTTCAGATTTAGAATCACAGCGCACGGTACAAAGCGTACAAACGATCATTCTTGAATCTAATTACAAATTGTACCGCTCGATTTGACTTTACATGAGACAACGAACGAGATTCGTTGCTGTAATTGAAGGGTGTTTTATAAATTCATGCTAGAGCAGCGATACTAATTAACTATCTTAATTATAAATTACTGGCCCACTTCGAAGAATCTGATCTCTTAATTTTTGAAATTTGTAAACATTTCTATCTATCTGTTAAGATTTAATCAACCTAAGCTGTCAGCTTTTGTTCGAATAAAATATATTTCTATTGCTAAAAATAACAATTTCCGACCAACGACTAATGACTTTTCTGTTAATTGAAAATAACGAAATAGCGTGTGAAATTGAAAGCACAGTATTCTGTTCCAAGCTTAATAATAAACCGAAATAATAAATTTATCCAGAAATCGTCATGTTTAAATTCGTTTTCCTCCATGTTTATCATTTTTTATCTCCTCGATTTTCCGACGGTACTTCCTTGTTGCAGTATTCTATCGATCGCAAAACCCGATCTTTTGTAAATATCAGCAAGATCGGTTTACTCGAAAGCAAGATGGAGCGACGTTTTATGAAATACCTACGTGTTAGAGGTGGTCGGTTTCATTCGCGAAGAAGCAAAAGAACGATGGTCCGCGGAAGTCTAAAACATTTCATCTGTCGTGATGAATATTCATCTGTATTACATTATCATTGTTTATACGGAACACATCGCGAACAAAGAATTTCCTTGCTTGAGAATTTTAATTCCAAAGCATTTGAAATAAAACGTTTATAGCTACATCTCGAAACGAGAAAAAACAAACGAAACACGTAACACAAAACACGACGTATGAAGCGAATGAATTTGGAAGGACAATGTTAAATTACTCGAGAAATACATGCAAATAATTATATTACGAGAGAAACTACGAGAAAGACTTCAAATGATCTCGCGTTTCAATTTGGTTATTGAGGTCACGTTTGAGTGGATTTTGAGGTTAATTGGAGAACATGCGATACCTTTCTGCGAAAAAATAATTCAAAATATTAATAATGGAATTGCGATACGCGTACAAAAACTAAAGAAGAATGATTAATTAAAATGAACTTGCATATGCGACGTTTGAAACGCGGTGTCTGGCTTTGTACGTCGCGCTATACGCCGAGTTGAATTACTGTGAATCCGCTCGGTCGACTTGTTACATGCAATGGTATTAACTTCAATTGGATTGTTTCCAGATTCAGAATTCTTCTTTTCGAGAACGTACTTGTCGCAAAACACAGAGGGACGCGCATTCAAATCTAACACGAACAATTCATATACATGTAACTTCACACTGAACACGTGATCTTCAAAGTACTCGCGTCGATCGCTCGTAACTAACCTGACCTTTCACAATGCCCAACGGAATCGCGGCATTTCCTGTATTTGAAAAAATCACATTGCGCGAGCACGTCAATATTCTCGTCCTTCGTACGCACTTATCTTACTGTTTCGTATCATCCATTCGATCGATAATACGTCGAAATTCATTCAAAATCACTATACGATATATAACTCAAAGATCCCGATCCTTGCACCTTCCTTATCGAAATACGCTGCCTAACACTATAACCTCAAACCAGATATCGTTCCGAACACTTTTCACGTTCGAATTGTCCTTTCACCTCTGAACGATGCACTTTTCTTTGACACGATGGTAATGGTTCTTACGTCGACGATCAAGAATCAATTTTACGAGTACTATTATTTTCAGAGACGATCGATCGTGCAGGGTAACACGCGACACACGTTAAAACCGAACCGCGAACACACGTATTCACGATAATCATGCGCACCGGGCGCAGAACGACGAATGAACGAAAGCGCCGCAACCGAAACTTCGCGAGCCCCACCGCCCTTTCAGCGCTTGCGAGTTACCCGCGAATCCGGACGATCGCTGCCGGACGTCGCCGAACGTGCACGAAGATCGATGGGCGGATAGACGGGGTTCACGGTGTCGCCACAACATAATTAATCGGTGGAAATATAATTCTCGATCGTGGCTTTACGCCACTACTTCTGTTTTATTAATTGTGCTTGCTGCGGACGTGCTTACAAAAGAATCCCACGATGCGACGTTGATCCCCTGATTACTTTCCTACCATTTCGCAATGGCGTTAATAAAACTTTTTTCTTAAGTCTTTTATACTATGCACTCTTTTCTCTTTTTGAATAACGAGCCGAATACGTCACGTTTGAACATTATTTCACAGTATCGACAAGAACTGCTTCTACGTTCTACTATCGAAAGAAAGGCAAAATCTCATAATCGATGAATACTTTCACACGGCCTCGGTCGAATGCAATTTCTTGTTAAATTTATCGACTGCTAGCGAAATTAGTAATGAATAGAAATACAAATATCAAATGCAGCTAAACGAATCGTTCCATCTAACTACTTCTACTTCTATTTGAACATTACTGTAAATATTCCGCGCTTCTTTGCCAATTTTGATCCTATCGTGTAAACTGTGAGAAATTTATTCTACAAAGTCTCAGAAGGTGACAGAAATCCGTGAATCGATAAAACAGAACAATGAGTCCACAGTTTACCTGTCCACTAGAGTCTGTGGGTGTCGAAAGCTCGAATTCTCGACGCAGAGAAGTCCGGTAACCAATTTACGGGCGCACTAGCCAATGGCTAGCGAACGGTATTTTTCGCTGGGTGAAAAAGAAAAAAGGAGGAACTTGAAAGAGACGAAAGGCAGAGGCAAAAAAGGTGGTTTCCTACCTCCGAATCAAGTACCGAATCTGGCCGTGCAGACAAACGATTTCACCGTGCGTAAAATTCATTGTCGCTCGCTGTGCCAATGACCGTCCAGCTTAACCATCATCGATGCTGATGCTGAAGTTCAATGAAACGGCAGCCGTATCTGTCCGAACTTTGTCGTAAATTTTAACCTAATAGTACGCTTGCGCGCGTAAATGAAAGCCGAAACGCTGATGCGATCCCCGCCAGTTGAACATGTAAAAAGCGGACCTGATAACAGAGGGAATATGCAGGCCAATGCGAATTACTCGTTCTCCTTGCACTTTCAAAGTACTTTTCATAACGAGTATCATTCTATTTTTATCGAAATGGACGGAGAAAGAGTGCTATAGAAGCGCGATACGATGCAAGGTATGACGTAAAATTTATGAATTTCCGATAATCGAGAATAATTAATACGAAAATCGTAGTACTGCACTTCAACGTTGAAACTCGTGAAATACCTGTACGACAAAGTGGCAGAATATTGTGAGAAATGACAATGTTCCTTTAATACGGAACATTCCAACATATTTGTATGCACTTAATAACGCAACAACGCATGTGTGCAATTAAGTATATACGAAAGTAGGTGTTGACATTATAAGAATAGAATACATTGATCCATATATTCATACGCGTGCATATACGTTCGCGTGTGTACATGAGTAACAGTAATGTTTCCGCAAACAACGTACAATTACATATGTTGACAATTTAAATATATATATATATACTATATGTGGATAATCGATATAACGTGACATATGCTTTGTGTAAATCTTTGAATAATATTATCGTAACGTCACACAATAGCAATAAATCATAAATAATATATAGATTATTCACTTTCATTCTTGTATCACCTTTTGTGGCTCAATTTATTTCAACTAATCTCTTCAACAGATAAAAACGATCGAATGTAAGAGCAAACACGTGCATAATGGCGGAAAAGAGCAAAGATGAAAAAATGGAAGAAAGAGGCAACGTGAAAAACGTGTTGAACTCTGACAGAGGTTTCAATTGGCAGTAGATGTATTCTTCAGCGGTTGGATGATTAAATACTAGCTCACCGTACAGGCTTTGATCCCTCCAATCAACGCACTGTACCACGTTCGTGTAAGGTGCGCGACCTTTGTACACTTCAAAGTCCTTTGCTTGTGGACGCTCATAGAACGGACCGAAACGGACTCCGAATGTTTAATGTCTAGACACCTGTCCATTCGACCCAAACTGCATGGCCATTTTTCTATCTATCACCTCGTCCTTGCTTTGAAGTCTGCCATTTATTCGATAACGAGAAACACGGTTATTTAGGATAATCAAACGCACCTTGCGGTTCCCGCGGTTTACTCGTACAAATCTACGTCATTCACCCTATTTAGACATCATGTACTACCTCAATATACTCAAAGCTCGAATTCGACGCGATATCTCGATACGATCAAACCGATTCAACATACTCGTCGATAATATAACGTCTGTTTGGGATGAAACCAGGAACCTTTGTGATTTGATGATTCTTCGAGAATTGGACATTTCATCAAAAATATCGTATGCTGTATAGTAAACGATATTTTAAAATTATTTGTCCAAGTTAAATGAAATTAGTGCAACGATACGTATGTAGGAAATATAAGAAAGGATAATAGTCGATGAAATATATTTTATGCAACTTTATCTTCCCTTCTCCTGACCTGGTGTATCGTGAGGATCAGAAGATCCCTCTGTGCCAGCATCACCTACGGTAAATATTTGACGAGTAACTGTGCTATCATGGCAATACTGGTCCTGATGAGGGCTGCTCAACTCCGCCTTCGATGTTTCATCTTAACGCCGTGGAACGTTGCTGTGTCACTTTGCAAAATCAAAGTTCGTCGAGTATTATTTGCATCGAGAAAAACGATACTCTGGAAGTTTATACGATAATCGAAGGTAATTTAATGTTATATCATAAATTATTTGATACGCTACATTTAGTTTATTTTGACGAGTGCAATGGAAGGATTAAAATCATACGAAAGAACCTTCGAACAAATTATTGACGTTAAAAATGATTTGATTTTAACAAATATTGGAACGATGTTTGCGATTTCATGTATGTTGCGAAAACTAACTACATATTGCTAAAACTGACCTAGTTAAAGTTTCATGCCGTAATTAAAACGTACAACTAGGTATTGTTATAAAACCAGTATGAAAATATTGTGCATATATCGGGATTCCATACTATTTCCTTTAAACAGTGTATATTGCATTTAAAGAGTATAGTAGTTAACAGAACAAATAATGACGTAAAATATAGCGTACAAGGAAGAATTAATTAAAGTTAATTAAAAGAGACAAATTTTATCACGGTAGCGAAACAAATTTCATTTGCATAAATGCGGTAACATCTTTGCATGCAAGTGTCCACATGCATATAGATCTATAATACATAAATACGTTTATATCTGACATATGTAAATTTTCTTTCGAAGCAAAGCTGAAACGAGAAGAAAAATGTGGAAAGAAATAACGCAAATTGATCAGCGTACGAAGCTACGTCATTCGTGTACATGGAGTCAAAAATCGCATACCACAAAACTGACTTCCGCATATGTGTTTGTACACGTATGTATTGCCTACGCGGTATCTATAAAACATAAGCATTATACTTTCTAATGTATTAAAGGACACCAGAGCTTTCCGTAGATCCTTTAACTAAACGCAAATGACGCGGGGCACAGAGCCAAACGATCTACCATAACGATCGTCTCTTCGACATTTCCATCGATTATCTTCGAGAAGCTGCTCTGAATTCTGTGCCTCGGAATCACAATGAACTTTCTCCTCGAAACACAAAAAATTAAATTATTTACGCATTCGAATGAGAAACCTTAACATTTGAATCATAATGTATAATCGTAAATGAAAGTTAAGATGAATGTAAAAGTATACGTTTTGAACGATTTTTTTCTTCTTTCTTTGGTTGTTTGGGTCTTCGTCTCACAACTTTGTTGCAAGCAAATAAGCGAACACCAACATGTACGATATTTAATGTTATGTAACTATAATTGCATAACGTGGGTCTGTTAATATCTATGATTGGTTAATTAACGCAATTCAGTGATTACACCGAACGTAAACAGAGGAATCAAAATAGATTGCAGATAAAACCTCAATTAAAGGAACATCTATCCACGACCACTGTAACCACAGAACAATAAGAAAAGCGTATTGTCATTATATATCGTCTACGTGTATATTTGCGCAGCCCTTTTCGAATCAATTATACCGAATTACGATACTGAAATTACGGATAATAATTAGCAACATAGGACGAATTGTTGTCCGATTCGATCGCTTACATTAGAAAACAATCAAATCGGTGCTATATATGTTATTATGAGCTACAGGTGTTAGAATTGTCATTTTTAACTCTTCTAATAAAAGAATTTTCTCCGTAGTTCTCGGTAATAGTCGTTCACAATCTCGGGGATGATATATTAAATGTCGTAAGTAAATTATAAGGAAACGGATATTCTTCGTGAATTTACTCTATTTATATGAGTATTATTGTATATTATATATATCAGTGTTACGACTCAAAATTAATAATTCGTTTCCATGTCGATTATTCCTCTCGTTAATTCATATATCCTCTATCGGTGGCAACCGATAGGTATAAGCGATATTCGTGCACGATCATGCGAGCTTTGCGGAGAAACGGACGTAAGGGCTCAGTTTAACTTGCGAATTCGCGGTGAATACCAAAGGATCCGAGATTCGAGGATCAGAGATCGTGCGTGGTAGTAAACTTGCAGAAGCGCAATCCAATAGCAAGGATAATAATTAATTGATATCTCCTTTTGGTCGAATACATGGAAATCTGGCATTGGTAAAATCTCATTACGGTCGTTCGTAGCGTAGACAGAATTACCGCCAACTTCAACGATAAATCAATATCGTTCGAGCTTCGTCCAAATGAAAAAGTACGCCTGTCGCAATAATTTACCTGCACAAATAAAATTGTATCGGTAACTAAAAATGTACTTGCAATATACGAACTTTTACGACGCAGATTTATTTAATTAATAATT